CAGTGCGCAGTGGCAACCGGGGGGGGGGGGGGGGGGCACTGCAGGGATTCTTTCCGGGGTTTGCGCGGGGAGGTCGACTGACTCGTTCAGTTGTTCGTTCTTGTGACTGAGTCTCAGAGCTTGGCCTCGGGGTGTGCAGCGTAAAATGTCTCGCCCCTGCGCGTGCTACACCGTTCGATTGCGGCAAAAGAACTTTTACACTCACCCCGCGCCACGCGGACGCGCGAAACCGCTCAATAACAATACGTTATGCGCCTCTCTTGCCACTCTCGAATCCGCCCGCGCAGCGCGTGGTTTGGGAAGGTGTGAGTGTGCTGGAGCGCCTCGCCCGTCATCGGGCTCGTCGACTTGGTCGCGAGCCAGCGCTCGATCTGCTTCCGCTCGTAGGAATGGCCGTCCGCCGCCATCACCGGGTCGCTCATCACCTCGGTCGTGATGGGGCAGATGAAGTCGGCCGGCGGCGGCTCGTCCTCCCTCGGCGGCGCCTCCGGTTCGGGCGGCTGCTCCTCCGCCACCCGCCTCTCCTCCTCCAGCCTCGCGCTCTCCCGGAGCGCCGCCGCCGCCTCCTCTGCCGCCGCCACCGCCTCCCCCTCCGCCGCCGCAAGCGCCTCCGCCTCCTCGCCTTCCGGCTCCTGCGACGGCCCGGCGCCGCTCCCTCCGCCCCTGCCCTTCTTCTTCTTCTTCTTCTTCTTCTTCGCCTTGCGCTCCTTGGCGCGCTGCTCCGCCTCCTTCTCCGCCTCCTCATCCGCCAGAAGCGCTTCCGCGTGCCGATCCGCCTCCGCCGCCGCCTCCGCCATTCTCAGCCTCTCTTGCCGCCGCCTCCGCCGCCCTAGCCTGCGCGCTCGCGGGCGAGAGGCGGACGACGGTGGTCGTGGGGTCGAAGGCCTCGTCGCTGATCTCGGCGGTGGTTGGCACGGTGACAGAGGCGAGGGCGGAGCAGCGGTGGAAGGCGCCCCAGCCGATGGAGGTGAGGCCGGCAGGGAGGGTGACGGAGGTGAGGGAGGAACAGTTGTTGAAGGCCCAGCTCTTGCGATGGAGGTGAGGCTGGCAGGGAAGGTGACGGAGACGAGGGAGTCGCAGCATTCGAAGGCGTCGTCACCGATCGAGACGAGGCCGGCGGGGAGGGTGACAGAGACGAGGGCGGAGCGAGAGGCCATCGGGCAGCGGCAGCGTGATGGAGATGAGCGAGGAGCAGCCATGGAAGGCGTAGTCGCCGATGGAGGTGAGGCTGGCGGGGAAGGTGACGCGGGCAAGGGCGGAGCAGCCGTCGAAGGCACAGTCGCCGATGGAGGTGAGGCTGGCGGGGAAGGCGGCGGAGGTGAGGGCGGAGCAGCAGTAGAAGGCACAGTCGCCGATGGAGGTGAGGCCGGCAGGGAAGGTGACGGAGACGAGGGAGGAGCAGCTGGCGAAGGCGTCGTTGCCGATGGAGGTGAGGCCGGCGGGGAGGGTGACGGAGACGAGGGAGACCCACTCTTGGAAGGCGCAGCTTGCGATGGTGGTGACGCCCTCCGGCACAGTGGCGTGCCCTGCGCGTCGATTGAAGGCTGCACCGCCCAAAAGTTGATGGCCCGCACTGCTGCCTTCGCCTCGTCGTTGAGGGGGCAGCCGGAGAAGGCACCGTCGCCAATCGAGAGGCCATCGGGCAGCGGCAGCGCGACGGAGGCGAGGGAGGAGCAGCGGGCGAAGGCTTTGTTGCCGATGGAGGTGAGGCCGGCGGGGAGGTCGATGGAGACAAGGGAGGAGCAGCGGAAGAAGGCGTGGCTGCCGATGGTGGCGAGGCTGCTCGGAAAGGCGACAGAGACGAGAGTGATGCAGCGGAAGAAGGCGTGATCGCCGATGGAGGTGAGGGTGGCGGGGAGGTCGATGGCGGCGAGCGAGGAGCAGCCCTCGAAAGCGCCGTAGCCGATGGAGGCGAGGCTGCTCGGGAAGGCGACCGAGACGAGAGAGGCGCGGCCGCGGAACGCCCCGTCCGGCAGGTGCATCATGCCTTCGGGCAGCAAGTTGGCGATCGCTGTACTTCATCGCTGTACTTCATGGTGGGGCGGCTGACTATAGCCAGAGGTCGATACTCTGGACGGCCCATACCACGGATGCCACGCGACTGCCTGAAGGGGAGGGGGGCGCGAGCGGGTCAATGGGGTACAGCCCGAGGCGTGTAGTGAGCGTCGGGCTGGTGGTTCGACACCGAGTGTTCATAGTACGCTGGCTTTGACTAGATGAGTATGCGGGCCGCCCTTTTCTGTTACCTTGGGGCATCCTAAACTCGCCGTTAGAATTCTTTTTAGGCCACCCGCGAGTACCCATCGCCCTAAATCGCTGCTCATATCGCTGCCTTTGTTCGGGCGTCGAATTCTCAGGTTCTCTCAGGCGCGGCCACATACGAGAGATCATACGAGACAACTCATACGAGGCCGACCAACAGACAGACAGACATACACAGCCGTCACTCCAAATGTCCGCATTCTTAAAGTAGAGAGAGCGAGGAATGGAATGAAGGAGGGCGGCTTGTCGCCAGACCCTTCGTGGCTCTCGTCGCCGCGACATAAATATGTCGCATGAAAAGAGAAACGCGAGCGTGACACAGCTTCTCAAGTTCATTGACCTTCCTCTATGACCGGTCAAAGATGTCCGGCATGGCCAACGACCCTTGGTATGATGTGTATACGTCGCTCAAGCGCGTCTTCGACAAGCTGCCTTCGGAGTTTGACAAGGACGTGTACGGGTTTGTCGACACGAATCCGGCGCTGACCATCTACACGCAGATCGGGCTCGTCGCGACGTCGAAGCTGATCATCCCGGTCGCCGCCGACGAGTTCTCTGCGGTCGCCGTCAACGAGATCTTCACGCGCGTCTACGCGATGAGCGAGCCGGCCGAGAATGCGCTCAAAGACATGTCGGAGGAGTCGTTTGAGTACAAGGTGCGCACCAAGAAGGCGCTGGGCCAAGGAAGATCGAGCTGCCAAAGATCCACATGGTTATTATGAACAAGACGCCGCTCCACTCCAAGGGGAACGCGCACTAATGTTGGTGGTGAAAAACTGATACTCAAACTTAAGTTGTGGGGGGAATGGGGAAATGGTGGCCCTCCCTCCCTCCCTCCCCCCACACCCCCCTCCCTCCCTCCCTCCCCCTGCACCCCCTCCCTCCCTCCCACCCTTTCCTGTGCGAAGAGCGCGCGCTTAGCCGCCCTGGGCGATCTCGCGCAGCCTACTATGCGGCTGCCACATTCTTTTCCCCTGCTAACATAGTACATGACATATTCTTGCACACGAGCCACGAAGTGACATCACTCACTGCGTGCATGCTTGTGCTTGTGCTTGTGCATGCTGCTCCATGTCAACCGCTGTCGACGTCAGGTGCTGCTGCTCATGCTCATGCTGCTCGGCAATGGCGTGCGCGAGATCCCACCCGAGGCACTCCTGCGTTCTCTTCTCACCTCGCTCTGCCTCCTGCCGCAGCTCCTCCATAGCACATGCCACGAGGTCTTTTGCATTCTGTGTGCAGGATGTGCGCTGTGCCTCCAGTGCCGAGCACGCCGTCGACAGAGACATGTGCTCTGTGCCGGCGATCCCGGCGACCGTCATGTGCCGCTGCAAGTGCTTCTTGAAGTAGAGGACCATGAGCGCTGCCGTCGGCTTCTGCACCACCTGCTGCTGTGGGTTTGCTGCTACGGCTGCCATTGCACGCTGCATCGCTGAACCAAACTTAATCAAACTTGAGTTTGTCCAGTGTCGGAAATGGAGAAACCACCCTCCCCTCCCCTGCAACACCCCCCCCCCCCTCCCTCCCCCCCTCCCTCCCCCCACACCCCCCTCCCTCCCACCCACTCTTTCCTACGCAAAGAGAGCGCGTTTAGCCGCCCCGGGGCCCAAAAACCAAATGTGTGAGTCTCGTGTGAGTCTGGGGGCGAGACCGTGCACGAACTGCGTGATCTGAGCCGTGGACGGGGGCAAGCCTTCAGCTGGTGCCAAGACATCCGTAAAGTTGAAAACAGAACGTGCGCCAAATCCGTGCTTTCGCGCGAAAATCCTTGAGGGGAAGCCGCTGACGTGCCCGCGGCCGCCTCCCGCGCAGCACCGCCGCTGCGGAATCGGATCGAGCCCATGGAGGAGGAGGGCGCAGTCGGAGTCCCTCCCCGCGCCGGAGCCCCCCTGCAGTCGAGGGAGTCCTCGTTGGCGATGAAGGTGGCGACATCGAATCGCGGCCGACACACGTCACGTGGAGGAATGGGCGATGAGCGGGAACGATGCGCGCTACGACGCCGACTCCGCCGTGCTCGTGGCCGCCAAGCAGAAAGCCGCGCTCCAGGAGCACGCCAAGATGCAATGGCTCGCTTGCTTCGATTCAGCTCTCTCGGCAGCAGAAGTGGGGCTGGAGCGGGTGGGGGTGGATGCCGATTGAGGGGGAGCGTCTCCAGCTGCGCCCTGTGTCCGACCCCTTTTGCGCAGCAACACCTTAAACTTTTCAGGCCCTCCAAATTCGGGTCGGAGCGTAGCGGAGTGGGCCCCGAGTTTGAAAAGGGCGACGGACGCTTGCGTCCTAGCCTCCAACAACGCCTCCCCGGCGCAGAGGGCCCCCCGGAGGGATGCACAACCGACCCACGCCACGCCGCTTGCGGCGCAGCTCGACTACTAAGTACCACGTACGCTGTAGCCGTACTACGCAGCACAGCTGCAGAGTGCAGACTGCAGTCGCTGGCAATTTGGGATAAACCAGGTTTTCCGGCAAACAAAAAGGAAACCAGAGGGTCCCCAGCACTTTGCGTTTCCGGAAATTTCCAGGGAAAACAGAGGGTGTTTGGTGCTCCATTCTGGAAACTCGCGAGTTTCCCTGAGTCTGAGAGCTGGTCTGGGGCAAAATCTGAGGCAAAATTGAGGAAATCGACAAAATACCCAGGCGGTCGCAGGGTAAATTCCAGGTATACACGGGTTCTCCGCAAAATTCCCGGCAGTTTGCCGATTTGGCCTAACATTTGGCTGATTTTGGGCCCAAACCAGCCTCAGACTCGGCTCAGTCAGCGCCCAAAATTTGACGATTTCCACGGCGTTTTCCCGGGAAATTAGAAAGGAAAAGAGAGGGTGTTGTAGAGAAAAAAGGAAAGGAAAAACAGACGGGGTGCGAGAGGCAAACCTGGTTTAGTTAGCCTAACTGGCTGTATGTACGCAATCATATCGACACCTAGTCAGCCGGAGCTGCTGTGTCATTGCACCGCACCGACTCAAGCTGGTTGACATCGCATTTATGAAGGAGATCCACACAAAGGTGCCCATCATCCCGATCATCGCCAAGTCTGACACGATGACGTCGGCCGAGAAGAAGGAGTTCAAGGAATGGGTGCAGCAGAAGCTGCAAGAGGAGGAGATCAAGATCTTCCAGTTCGATCCGTCGACCATCGACGAGATGTCGAGGCAGGCGGAGGTTGCGACGGGCCCTCCGTGGGCAGTCATGGCGACCAAGGACACCACGATCGAGGACGGCGAGGTCAAGGCTCTGCGCATTTACGACTGGGGCGCCGCGGACGCGGCGAACCCGCAGCACTCCGACCTGCTTTTGCGCTGCAGGAGCTGATCCTCGGCGGCGGAGGCGCGTGGGAGCGGCTCAAGGAAGCCTCAGCAGAGAAGTATGAGGCGTGGCGAGACAAGGAGATTATCAGGGAGCAGGAAGAAGCCGCCGCCGCCGCCGCCGCCACCGCCGCCGCCACCGCCGCCGCCACCGCCGCCGCCACCGCGCACCGCCGCCGCCACCGCCGCCGCCACCGCCGCCTCTTCCTCCGCCAAGCCCCTGCACAAGAAGGCCGCCAAGCACGTGAAACACGTGCTTGCTCTTTTCCCCTCGGTCCCACCGATTTGCGTCGTGTTGGGCGCTCTGGCGCTCCTCTTTGCGATGGCCGTGGCGCCAGCGGCGTTGCAGACGGCGCCCCCGACCCAAACGACGAATACGTCGACGCATGCAGCGTTCGAGGCGCAGCTGCAGGAAGCACAGGCGCTTCTCAAGTCGGCAGAGGATCGGGCGGCGGTGGAGCTCGGCACAAGGCTCCGTATCGAGGACCAGGCGGCGAAGCAGCGCGAGGCGGCGAAGACGGCGGTGGAGCAGCGCGAGGCGGCGAAGACGGAGATCAAGCAGCTCAAGGCGCTTCTCAAGTCGGCAGAGGATCGGGCGGCGGTGGAGCTCGGCACAAGGCTCCGTATCGAGGACCAGGCGGCGAAGCAGCGCGAGGCGGCGAAGACGGCGGTGGAGCAGCGCGAGGCGGCGAAGACGGAGATCAAGCAGCTCAAGAAGATGCTAAAAGTACGCGGATGTGAACGCCATCAAGAAGAAG